TGAAGAGACAGGCAGCCAATGTCCTCTCAGGGCTGATTGACAACTGTGGCTGTATCTAAGAACGGCCTGGCACTGCAGGCAGACAGTGGGGTGCCCGACCTCATTGATTTTCCTAATAGGTCATTCCCACCCGGGTTCATTGTTCTTCCTCCTATGAACACACAGGCCCAGGGCTGAAGGGAGGCCTGCATCATGTTTCAGAAAGCGCTACCTGAACCCATATAAGCATATGATTCTGTCTAAAACTCAATAATTCACTGAACTGACATCCTTTTAGCATCTCTGCAGTCGATGTCTCTCAAAGAACAGTGCTACAATTGAACTAGAAAATTAGAGCTTTTAGCTGGACTCCCCGGAGGTGCATATGTAAAACAGAATAATAAATGATTGTCATTTCAGTTCAGAACATAGAATTAGTCATGGTCAAAGAGGGAATCCTGAGTCCTGCAGGAAGGACTATCAAGGGTCACTGGTCACCACCACTTTCCAGCAATAAAAATGCATGGCTCCTTGGTTACCTGGAGTATCCGTGTGGCCTATCTATTGTTGCAACAGAACTTGTATAGAACCCACAAACAGGAAAACTATTTCCCACTTCAGTTTCTTTTCTTTCTGTTGAAAAATTTAAAACCCCAGCCTTGGGGAGTGGAAATACAATCCAACCAGAAACTTGCTGAGTGTACTTGTTCCTCTTTCCAGGCCGGGGGTGGGCAAGAGAGGAGTCCAAGAGCCCCATTGTAGAGGCACAGTGGGCAAGGCAGAGACTGTACAACTTTGCAGGAGCTTTATCGTTGCCAGAACAATTAGGCCACTAAAAGACTGTCTTATAGCCAAGATGTTTAGAGTCTTAAAGAAAATGCAGTGACCACCAGCAGCAAGAAGGAATGTACGCTTAGAGAGCTAACTGGACTTGGTGCCTGTAGGTAGGTGGTCACCATGGACTGGGAACATCAAGTGAAAATGCAGCTGGAGCCTCATTAGAGAAAGTGGGGCCCCCAGCATCAGCATCAGCTGAACAAAACGCAGGATTCGGGCTCTCGCTGAATCAGAGACAAATCTTTGGGTAATTCCTGTTTACATTGAATTATTACCATTTGGTAGAGGTTTAGGGCACTGTGTCCTAGTCTTAAAAGACACCTTAGAGCTTCAGGTATTTACTTAAATAATTCCTTATCAAGATAGGAGACAGATTTTGTTTTTTCTCCAATTAATGTGTATGCAGTGTAAAGACAAGCCTCTGTTCTCCCAGGCTTTCTGTTCCTCCTAAATGATCTGAACACACAAGATTTATATACACATAAGACTGTGCTCTGTCAGTCAGTGTCATAGAGAGGAGGTGACCACTACTGCCTAGTGGATCAAGAATGGCTTCCCAAAGGAGATATTTGACCTGCCACTCCTATAAAAAGAGGTGGAGTAGGAAGCCTAGAAAAAGAGGGTCAAAAATGGGGAGCATTTAGACTGCCTTAAAGGAGGGATCGTGCCTACAGAAAGAACGACAGCACAGATGGTAAACAGTAATCTGCTATAGCTCTCATCTTGGGTGTCTGCATTTTTCCTCCTCTCATGCCACTGCTGTACCCCTGCCTCAGGATACGCCCAAACTGTACGATCTGAGTTGTTCAGGCTACACCCAGATCTACATGCCTTGCCCCTGACTCAGGTTCTACCCAGGCCACCTCACATCCCTCACCATCTCCCGTGGTCTCATGCCTTCCATCTACTCATCTACTACTCATCCAAGTCATTAAAACTTCCTACACCCCTCAATACCCATCACAGCTTCACCCTTCTTCTGAGGGTCAGAATCCTGAGTTAGGGAGACATGCTAGATTGAACTTGAAAAGCAGAGAAAGTCTCCAAAAGACTTCGCAAGTCTCTCTCAACCCTCAACTTTAACGCTTCTTCACTCCCTAAACCTATAAATATTACAAATATTAAACTGAAGGAAACTTCAACACAGAAAAGAAGGTAGAAAACAGAGTTGCTTCTGTCTTCCCATACCTGAGGTCCTGAGAAGAGGGTAATGATGGTTGGTCTCAATTTTCAGCCCTATAGGATTTACCTAGAAGACACACCTCTGGGCACACTTGTGATGACGTTTCTAGAGAGGACTAACTTAGTGGGGAGACTCAGACTCAGAGTGGCTGGCAGCTTTCAACAGGCTGACAGATAAGCAGCACATGGAAGAGCTGCCTACTGCCTTTGTTTCTTCCCGAGTTGTGCATCTATTTCTGCTGCCACCATGTTCTGCTGACATCCGACTCCAGCTTCTCTGGCCTTCCAATGTGAACTGAATACCAGCCATTCTAGGGATCTTTCAGGCTCCTGGCACAGATCTGAAACTCCTGAGGCCTCCAGTGTGAGGGACTGAGCAACTACTGGGTCCTCGCTCTTTCCAGCATACAGACAGCAATTGTTGAACTGTTTGTAAGCCAGTCTAATACATCTCTTTATTATATATGCATATATATGTACACACACACACACACACACACACACACACACACTCACACAATTGGTTTTGTTCATTTACAGAATACTGAAGACTAATATGATCCTGCCCAGGATCGACCCACAAAGGAGGATGGTCTCTGGACTCATTAGCTATTTGAAATATATTCTCAGAACTGCCAAGCAGAAGGACTGGAAAGTTATAGGTAGAGATTTGTATGCAACTGAATGAAGCGAAGTGTGCTGGGAAACTTCTAAAGCCTTGGTTCTTCTGACAGCCAAAGGCTGACAAAAATGAATACTACCAGGGCTAGAGCACTTGCTGGATTCAATTTCCAGCACCCATAAGTCAGCTCACAACTGTCTATAACTCCAGCTCCAGTGACTGACACCCTTTTCTGACCTCTGGGGTACACATACATATATGCATCCAAACATGCATACATATAAAAGAAAAATTAATAAATCTTTTTTAAAAATTCAAAAAACTAGTACTACTGGTGATTGACCTGGGTTTAAATCACCAGTTCCAGCCTCTATGAGCTTTCTGACCATTGGCAAATCGAACCCTCTCATTGCCTCTAATTTCCCTCTATAAAATCAATAATAATAATAATAATAATAATAATGATCTTATAAAGTATTTTTTCATGAGCAATACAGTATTATAAATTTTCTGGCCTACAAGAAAGTCTGGTGGATTATATTATTCAATTTATTTCAACAAAAGGATAATGTCCCCAGACATATTTCCTATACATCTCAGGCTATTTCTTAATCTTAAATGGTTTTGAAATATCTAAATGCTGAAATTTGACTGTGAAGCTTTATTAGTTTCATGGCTGGAATAAAGACTGACAATGACTTCAGATTGTGAAGACAGATTAAGTAAGATAATATTTTATCAATAAAAAACTGGTAACAATAGGGATGTCAGGAGAATAAGCTGATCGAGGAGGAAGGAGGGAACAAGAGCAAAAAGCTTAGTGTTGCTGCTTGTCAAATGCCTCTGGCATAATAAGAACCAAAGGAAACCTAGTGTTAATATCAGGAAACCCCAGTAGCTAACCTCTCTTTCTCTGTCTCTGTCTCTCTCTGTCTCTGTCTCTGTCTCTGTTTCTGTCTCTCTGTGTGTCTCTCTCTTCTCTCTCTCTCTCTCTCTCTCTCTCTCTCTCTCTCTTTCTCTCTCCCTCTCTTCCCGTCCCCACACAAAAAACAGTAACACACTGAGCTATGTGGCACTGTTAACTCCTGGATATGAAGTATAGTTCTTGCGTAATACAAACACAATTGTTGAAACATAAAGTATATGTTCATTTACCAGTAACCCTGAGTTCATGAAAACAGAATCTACCTGATTATGTTGCCATCTTTTAAAACTTAATCTCTTGGATGCAATATTTATTTATATTTACACTTGAGTCACCACCAATTCACAGGTTAAAAGACTTACAGCTAAATGTATGTTTTATAATAAACAATTATTACCTAAAATCAAGCATTGTATTTGCACAGTCACAAAATGAATAAAATGTGGTTGCTGAAAGTGTATTTTTAAAACTCGATATAACTTGAAAACAACGCAGAGTTCAAACCTCATTTTAGTGAACTCAGTTCAATATCAAGAAATGTCATGCCAAGAAAGTCTAATTTTAGAAAGTTTCCACCTGAGGGAGAAGCAGGGTCAGTCTGCAAAGAAGCACAAGTATGTTTTCTATACTAGTGTTCATTGCTGACAACAAGACAACAGCTTGTTGGGGCTTAAGGAGAGGAATATAGAAAGAAAACATGCAAAAAAAGGTATCTAAAGATTTCTTCAAACCAACACTGTCACCAGCAGCTCCTATCTCCAGGGAAGAAAGGAGACAGACAGATGCTCCCAGCCTGGGTCCTGAATGAGAAGAACTAACAAAATTGAGCTGGCTGCTTAAACCTGTTGTCACATCTACCTGGCTCTAGAGGGCAAGTATTTCCCAAGGGAGGGACCCTTCTTTTCTTAATAAACCTGTGCTTTGTGCAGGAAAATCAACACTTTCCAAGGGGGCTCGGTTCTGCAACGTATAATGGCTTAGGCAAGAATAAATCACTAGCAGATTGGAGAAAAGATATTGAACAGTACCTCTGGGAGATTTTTGGACAGCCCACTTAGAATATATCAACCACAAATATTCATTAAACACCTAATGTCTAAAACAGAGCTCTGAACTGTAGGAAGGCAGAGAACCAGAGTGCCCACTGCCCACAGGGAACTCACAAAGTAGTAGCTGATGGATTCTTTCTCTTTAAAATTGTATGATCAAAGAGAATTTCTAAGTATTTTGTCAAGTGTACAGAGTAATTGCACCTGTCCAAGTCCAATAGACCATTCCGTTAGCCACTTCTTCAGGAAAAAGAATGCTAATAGTCATCATTTATTAAGAATCTGCCATCCTAGTTCCTGTAAGAGAGAATCCTGATAGCTTTTAAATTAAATTCTGATATGTCTTCAGATGTTTGTGGTTATTTGGGGTGTTAGGCATATTTTGTAAGAAACTTCTTACCTCTTTCAAGGAAAAGGCAAATGGTCCAAATCAAGTCTTAGGAGTCTTCAGGCAGCCTGAAAAGTAGAAACTGTCCTCAGACACACCATTCAAAGGGGGAAGACACTCATATCGACCTGAGTCCCTTGCCCAATCATCAAGTTTCTTAGCATTCTGTGTGTTTCATGTGATTTTGTTCTAAAAGCTACCTGCTATTTTTAGACTGGACTGAGTTTCAAAGACTATTTTGGGCATGTACCCCACCCTCCACCCCCATGATCAGATATCAGCTGTTGACAACTCCAGTGGTGGTTAAGCACTAGATGGCTTTCTTTAGTACCTCTGTTGTTTGGCTGCTTTCATTTGCCACTCTGAGTGCTGTGCTGTCATTCAGTACATGCGCTCCTTTTTCTTTATTTGTGTTATAAGCTTACTGATCACTTACAATACACAGCCCTGGGTACTGAAAAGAGATTTCCACTGCACCCCAAGAAAACTGCTCCACCTGAGTACAGTGCTGCTTTGCTTTGGATCCAGTGATCCAATCTTCCTTGCATTCTCATTAACTACCTTTCTCTGGCTCCCATGGCCTGGCCATCAAGTTTGCTCCTGTATTGAACTGCTCAAACATTCTCTCTGGCATAATAGAATTTAGTAGATCTGAAATATACTTAAAATGTCACATTATATGCTATTTAGAGGGATTTGTATTTTACATTTAAGTTGAAAAGGGACCTTTAAAACATTATTAGTTCAACCTCCTGTTTTACTGGTGAGGAAGTCTGTCGCCATGATTGTCAGGTCACTGAAAAATATATGTACTAATCTAAGCCCTGTCTGCTCTTTGGAAACCAAGAAACCAAATGATCTGCAGTGATCTGGCATAGAAAATGAGAAGAAGAGAAGGAAAGGCCATTAATTAGGGAATTAGAGAGTTGGAGAACTAGCCGGGCAACTGTCTCCTACTGTCACTAGGACACCGGCATTAGCTCTTGTACCTCACAAATGACATGTGACTCATCCTTCAAAATCCCAGGAACAAAGTCAGGTATGGTGTTGCATGCCTTTAATCCCAGCGTTGGGGAGGTAGAGGCAGGTGGGTCTCTGTGAGATACAGATAAGCCTGGTCTACATAGTGAGTTCCAAGCCTGCTGGGGACTACAAGCAAGACCTGTCTCAAAAAAAAAAAAAAAAAAAAAGAAGTCTAAGCTTATGCCACACCCTGAGTTCCCTGGCCCCATGGTCTGCATTGACTGCGTCTTCCCATGGGCTAGATATACTGCTACCTCAGAGACCCCACAGAGCCCCTAGCTGACAGCCTCCTCTCCACACCTCATCTCCTGCAGGTTCTCAGCTTCCCCCCTCAGCCTGCATCATGGGGAGTCCACCTCTGAGTCCTCTCAGATTTGTGTTCATTGTGTTTGACCCCATTGGCGGGCTGCCCCAATTCTTCCTCTTTGCTGCAATCCAGGGTGTCTCCTCAGCCTAAGTTCTGTGAAGGTGGCTTCCCTCTGAGCCTAGCATGCACAAGTCTCATGCAAGCTTAAGCCAGAAAAAGACTCTGCATAGATATGGTGAAGTAAATGAGAAACCCCAAGACAACCTAAGAAAACTTTGATGACCAATGACTGCTGGGAAGGAGAGAGACAGTTTCTTTCAGGCAGCATGCACAAGTCTCATGCAAGCTTAAGCCAGAAAAAGACTCTGCATAGACATGGTGAAGTAAATGAGAAACCCCAAGACAACCTAAGAAAACTTTGATGACCAATGACTGCTGGGAAGGAGAGAGACAGTTTCTTTCAGGAATGGGGCTCTTAAAGATAAAACAGGCTCCAGTGGATGGACCCACATGAAGGACATTTGAATACACAAATTAGACTCTATAGAATTTATTAAATGTACGTATGCATATATGTATAAAATAGAGTAAATTAAATTTGGCAAGGGGCAATAAGGGGAGGGATGGGGAGGGATGGATAGGGGAGGGATGGATAGGGGAGGGATGGATAGGGGAGGGGACCTAAATACCATCAAATTATACTGTATGAAAATCACAAAAATTCAATTAAAAAGTGTTTTTAAGAAACTACGTCCTGGGGCAAGGCAGTAACTATCAAAGCTAAGGGGCTTGTTGACATGTTAAGCAATTAATGAAACAAGTGACCAAAGAGAATGAGCCTCCCCAGTTGTCTCTTCAATCACAAATAACTTCCTGGGCTTCGGTTGTTGGACAATTCCCTCCACATTCAAGACAATTAGAGGGTACAATAGGCATCTGTGCTCTGATAGTTACCCTCCAAGAGTGAAAAGGGGCTGGGGCATCAGCTAGGGAGGATGAGTGTGAGGGAACAGACCCTGATAAATACACTGCTCCCTTGCTAATACAGGTGGAAACTAGTGGGAAAAGCCCAAGTCTTGGATACATTACTCGATCTTATCCAAAAAGCAAAGAAAACAATCAGTGCTTGAGTACAAACTGTCTCTAACTTATGCAGACTAAGTGGCTAGTATCCTCTAATAACTTCAGAGAGGAAACACTGTTCTTAGTGGATGATGAAAGACAGATTATCTCATAAATTGTCTGGTGGTAATTTTATAGTGAGTTAGTAAGTCACACATCCCATCTTTATGACATCCTAGACCCTGGACTCAGACAAGGAATTTCACAGGTGATTGAACTTTGTACATCATGCTCAGTAGTGAGAATCAACACTTCTAAGTGAACAGAAGCATTGGAAGATTTTTGGTAAGGATTGCTATGCCTGTTAGAAAAATGCTCTGGGAACCTTCCAAATAGAGGATGGATGTGAGGGGACAGAATTATTGGCAATGGAGGCTGGTTTCATGGATACTGTTTGTCATCTATGTCCTAGAATGAATCTTTCACTATTCCTCCTTTGAGGCAGGCAAGCATAGGGAATATCTTAGTGACCTGGGACTAAATTTGATTTGCACTACTGTCCCCCAGGGGTTCTGGTTCCTCCAAGGGGCTGGGCCTTCTGCAGAGGATTGACTGTGCAGAGTTAGCCTAGGAAGGAGGGGCTGATCGTGATATGTTGGGACAGAAGCGGAGAGCCACTAGGAACCCACTAGGCTTGCGGGTGTGTGAAGAAGGAGCACAGGCGGTGTGGAGGAAAAAGATGGCCCCAGCGTCTCACCTGTGTCGCAAGAGGGGGCATTTACCAACCCGGAAGGAGACTGCTGCAGGCCCAAGATGCAGTGGGCGAATGCTAGTGGTGACTTTGGGCAGGCCAAGGGAGCCACGTGGTGTGACGGGCTATGAGCTGCCACATAGAGCTGGGCAGCCCAGAGCTGGGTGGCCCAGAGCTGAGCAGCATGGAGCTAGGTACTTGGCGTTCCTTTGGTTGTAAGTCACCCCACCCCCACCCCCTACCCCCGCCACAATAATAATAAATGTACATAAAGATATGTTATATAGTTTGCCTGATAGTGCAAGAGACCCAGAAAGAATTCTGGCGACAACTACATATACCCCTCTTCTAACAGGACCCTTGGCAACCTAGGACACACTCCTGCATGTACTATGCACACATCCCTCTTCTAACAATATACCTAGCAAATGAAAACTCCCATATGCATCACACTGCAGGTACGCTCCACTTTGAACAATGGAATTAATTTCTCTCCCATCAATGACTATCCTTTCATGTTTCCATTGAAATATATACCTGGCTAGGAAAGCTAGGGGGCCAATCTAGCCTAGACTGGTTTTGAGTGGACCTGCAATGAATATTATTAAAATCAGATGCATCATGGGAAGGGACATGTAAAGTAGAGAAAAGGTTATATAACCTAAATCTGTCAATAAAAGAGACCCATCATCGCTTTGTCATTAGAAACCTTCTCTTGGATCCCGGAAAAGGAAGCTCCTAGTAATAACCTGAGGTTCTTGAGTAGCCTCACTGAGGTGGCCTACTGTTTCTTTGTAGTGTGTCTGATCTGTGTTATTGCCTTTTCCTGAATGAAGTTTCCTTGACACTTGGAAATCTGTGTGCACCTCTTTTTTCAGTTCTTTGAACAAGACAGCGAGAACCTGGAAATATGCATCCAGCTACTGACTGCTAGTGACACCTTCTCCTGGTGTCTATTGCACAAGATCTCTTAATCTCTTTACCTTATTTTATACTGTGTGCCAAGTACAAGCCAGACTGAGTCAGTGACCAGAATTTCAGGCCATTCACTTCTCAAGGGTCTATATGCAAGACCCGTAAACATAGATGCTTTGCCTGTAGTCTGTTTCCCTAGACCCATTGTCTCAGCAATTGTCACCTTCCTGAGTGACACCCTTGGAAATTCATCAGCATGTCACATTTGGCAGCTGCACCAGGAGCATACTTTCTTTATGTATGAGCTGAGCACTGGGGAGCAGTGAACCTCTGTCTCCAGATCTATCGGGCTGCTGATCTTGAGAGAGCAGCATATTTATTCACAACCATCCTGAGCTGCGTGAGACCTTTACACATTTGTAAGTAAACAGACTGAGGTTATTCATGTTTCCTGTGCAGGTCCCATTCATTGCCTCCCCTAAAGGCTCTATGCAGCTCTAAAGGGGAGAAGGTTCCAGCCAATCAGGAGGGCAGCATTCATTCCCAGGTGATTTGTTTACTGACTTTCACCTAAAGGGCTCCAAGCTGCACTGTAGATGGGTCACTAAACTGCCAGGAAAACGTGACTACCTTTCTACACAAGCTCTAGAGACAGCCCCCTAGCAAGAAGCACCAGGGCTTGGGTAGAGAGGGAGTTCAATATGCACCCCCTGAAGACAGTCTCACATAGAGACGTCCAGGCTCGACTTCCCTGTCAGCCCAGCATATTCAGTGCTGCATGTGCCTAACCCAGGAAATGGGCAAATCAGATACATTTTCTCCTGATTCCTAGCAGCTTAGCAAAGCTTCCATGGTGCACTTGTGCTTTTAGAAGGAGTGGCCCAAATTGGGCTTGCATCCATGAAAGACAAAAATTCAGCTTAATCAGATTCTGTAGTCAGGAAATATTTCAAAATTCCTTCATCCTATAATTTTCTCCACTTCATCTCTCTAGGTAGGACTTTAATCAT